TAGTCAGATGAAAAAGGGTCTGTCTACATAAGACGCCGGACTGAATGCTCAATTAGGCTGGACACTTTCTAAGTGTGAAATTGATGAAATAAGTAGAATGATCTTCCCTCCTTGGAGAAGAATTAAGAACAGAAAAGCCTTTGGGAAGGTTCCCCAGAGAAGTTACCAGCGGGACATCCCGCCTCTGGACCACACACAGAGTGGGGCTCCTTCAAAGGACTTCCTGGATGACAGGCTCCTGGCAAAGCCAGGTAGGGCTCCAGGCTTTGAGGACCATGGCTTTGAGGGCCTTGCGCTCCTTGCTTCCCATCTCTATGACCACTACCACCACCCACCCACCCCTGCTATGCCAGGGCCTTTCTTAGGAAGGAATGTCCGTGGAGCAGACATCTGCTCGACGGCGGTCCTGGCTTTCTTTCACCCACTTGGCAGTCATGTTGCTCCAACCTATGTCAGTCATCTCTCTTAAGCACAGCAAACCACCTGGATCCCTCCTCTCTGCTCACAATTCCTAGCTCAGCCTAGCCCTCATGCGGGCACTGGGTACAAGCCTTCCCACCTAGTCTGCCCTCCCCCTGCAGCAGGATGTCCTGCCGAGAAGGCCAGAGTCTTAACCACTCCTGGATCTTCAGTATCTAGCCGAATTCTGTCCCCAACACACCGGCTGAATTTCAACCGTGGAATCACTTCCCAGGATAAGTGCTCTGGGTGGGTCACAAGAATGTCCCTCATCTCATGCTGTTCTTTTTAGCAGAACTCTCCTCCGCCCTTCTTCCTTTCTTTACCTGAAGGATGACAGCTATTTACCCAAGACCAGTTCCCCCAGATCTACCTCCTAAGCAAGCCCTGAGCAATCCTCAGGAGTTTCTGAACTTCTACAAGGGTCTTCCAGTAGGGCCGGCAGCGGAGGGGAAACCAGCATGGCACGGTCAGTGTCTGTGTGTGGGCAGGGATGGCAGTGTGTCCAACCGCAACTCTGCCCAGAGAACCCCTGGCATGGATGGAGGGATACATCAGAGGCCACCACTGAGCCGTGTTGGAAACAAGGCCGCCTGACTCTTACGGTCTTCTGTGGACCTCTTAGACCATACTGATCTTCATGGCCTACTTCCCCTTCATGTTTTCCCCCCTATCATCTTCCTTTAAAGACAAGTACCAAGTCAAGGAGAATGTCTCTGGTTTTACTCCATCTGTCAAAGCATCCAGACCAGTGCTAAGCCCATGGCTATGACTGAGCCAGCGTTTGCACCGATTAAATGGCTGGACATAATTAAGTGAACGGTTGGCTTCCTAGGAGTAGCTAAGGCTAAGGCTAGGAGAAGAATAATAACTTGCTCTCCCTTCAGTAACACGGCGCACTGTTATTATAGTAGCTCTAGTCAGAAAACGGATCCGGGCATCCTGACAGGCCCAAGTGCCCTTCTACGGAGACTTACTTTTGCAGGCGTTGCTATTCCGACCTTCAGCGGGTCTCCATGGTAAATCGTGGTAGAAATCCATGCAGAGCTCACAGTTTAAGCCCATGGTGTTATGTCTGCACATGCAGTGTCCGTGGACCTGAAAGTTACAAAACCAGGATGAAGCCCAGTTAAGGGAGACGTGGACGGCCAGCCGGCTCTTATCCACAAGCAGGGGGAAAACATCCAGCCCCTCTCAGCCTTAGCTCCGGATTATCACAGTGAGGATTTCTTTCTGTTTAGTTTGTCCTTTCTCCCTGGCCCCCAAGTTTGTATTCACCCCTTCTCTGGAGGGCTCTCATTACCTAACAGACACTCCAAACATATTTCAACCAAGTT